TCTCTATTTGCTGAGTTTAACAGTGTGCTGTCCTGTGAAAGTGTTTATTTGCCTGTTTATTGTGTTTATTTGGCCTGTTTACTGGGAATTGGGGGAATGGGGCCTCTTCAAATAAGTTTCCTTCGATTGATATTGTAAACTGCTTGATGCAATCCGGTTAAAGTCGCCCTAAAGTGTTTTTAAACGCCATGAGAGTTGATATGTGTGCTTTATAAATACGGGTTATTATTGTTATTATGATTATATTTATTGAAAATTGGGGTGAATCTAATTAGCCATGTTGCTCATCAACCCTTGAAGTTGTTGTTGTGTGTTTCGCACTTGTATTGTAAATTGCTGTCATAGCCAGAGTGTTGACCTGTGTCTGGCTTAACTCTTTAACTCCCAAGATCTGACTGTTAATTCTCCCCTCTGGCTGCTACACATTTCCTTGAAAATTGGTAATGGGAAATTGCTGTTAGATCAGGATAACAACATCTACTTGAGTAGAGTAGTTTAAGTACTCTCATTACCTTTTTGGTGGATAATGTATGGGTATGATAGGGAGAAGTTCAGTATGCTAATCACTTCTGGGAATTAAAGGGTTAATCTGGAGACTGAAAGGGTAATGAATTGAACTGCTGATTTCTCAAAGGCAAAAAGGGAATTGTGTCTCAATCTGTTGACAGAATAGGGTATTCGCTTTTATTAACTTTTTAGATTTCTAAAGGCCAAAGAGTGTTGACTTGTGTCTTAATCAATTTTTTTTCAATTTTACGGTTATTGGCTTTTCATTTATTTGCTTGTATATTATTTGACAATTATTACACGAGCGCGAGTTGGATATGAGATGATAGATAGCCAACGAGGCGCGTAGCGCTGAGTTGGCTATAATCATCTCATATCCAACAAGCGCGAGTGTAATAATTATTTTATTAAAAACGCCCCCAAGATATTAGACAAATCTTACCAAATTTTAAATGGTGAATAAAATTATAGTAAGTGAAGGTGTAGTCTGATCGTCCGGGTGAGTGTAGTCCTGAGAAGGACTGTTGTCGGTGGCAGTGACTGACGTTTCGACAACCTGTGCGGAAGTCATCATCAGAGTCAAGTGAATGATTGTTGTCAGTAGAATGTTCTTATTCCAGTTCGTGTGAAATGATCGGTTGGTTTTGCCGTGATGTTATTGGCTGTAAGACTCAAGTGACGTAAGTCGTTCGTGATTGGTCTGTTTCGGTCTGTCGGTAAAGCTAGGTTGTTCTTTTTCGGTCGTTTGTGATGTTTATGTCGTGAATGAGTCGTTTGTATGGNGGCTGTGTAGCTTACAAATTAAGGAAGAAATACCATGCATACCATGTCACTTCAAGTTAAATATAGACAATTAATTATCCCATAACATAAATTTAGGATCGAAAGTCGCACAAACTGCATTCGGTAAGCAATAACAAAGACGGTCTTCTAATTTAACATACTTATTTCTATTTATATTTGTCTTTGATGTGAAATTTATCCTTAATGCATACATCAAAAATGAATATTTAGTATTATCATCAAATTTCTTCAATTGTCCTGACCAGATAAGCTTGGAGATACAGTACTAATACATTATGTAGGTAAGGTTCATGTAGTGCAGATTCAATTCTATAAATATTGAGCACTAGTCTCTCCTTTTTAAGGGTTTAGCAATAGACTTCAAACCAAAACTTTACTTAACAGTGTAATTATGTACAGAAAAAAGAGTATACCAGTGTGTTAGTTTTTTAATTGTTTTATGTTTTCAGTGTCGATATTCTCTGCACTCTCGTCTATATAATTCCTTTAGTGCTGACCAGGAGAAATTGTTTGACAATTGAAGCTTCTCCGGTTTGTAATCATTTCCTATAACCTCACAATTTCAATGAATGACTCAGCGGTATTATTGTAAAGAAAAAACAGATTCCGGTCACTATTACGGTTTAAAGGTCAAAACAAAGCGAGACAAAATTTTAGTCGGAGGAAAAGGGAAATTACACTAGATAAAAAGATAGCTTAAGGTCAACGTAAGACTGCGAAAAGTAATACATGGAAAGCACTGCAGCAATAGCTTGTTTGTAGGATTCTTCCGTATCAAAATAGAAATATCGATCATTCCGATAGCAAGCATCAACAATTGTTATACAGAATCCCCTTATATAATTCTGAAAGGACTACATGATGATTCTGAAAACACCGTATTGTAGCTTTACTAACTGAGACAAATTGATTCCCCCCCCCCGAAAAAGCTGAATTTTTGAAACTTTGCACACATGAACTATAAAATACTGCTCAGTGTCAAACGTCTTATTTTGGTATCAGGACATTCTTATTTGGTATCAGGACATTCCCAAAGCACGGTTCATAACATCGATATTTGCATTTGCAGATCTCTTGGTTTTCAGATTGACTTTGTTCCTAAGAAAAAAAAATACACTTTCTCGTTGTAAGTGACTACCCTGGGACTGTATATAAGTCCTCGGTTCTGTATACGGACGACGAAAACGAAAAGCTAAATTAGACAAGATGTGACGAGGAAATACGGATTCGAAACGCGATCTTCAGAGACCAACTGAGGACAAATTGAATATTTAGATTTGAGCAAATCGCATCAACATTTCTTTCANAAATCATTGGAGATTTTGTTTTTAACCAAAAGTACATTGCCAATAAATCAGCATTTTTTTTAAGGTCAATGATCTTTCTTCGATTAAAAAAAGAATAAGGAAAAAAAGAAATAGGAAAAAAAGAAATTACTTAATTTCATGCTGATTTAGAGCACCAAGTATTAGACATCATTAAAGGGCTACAATTAGATTTTTATCTTTTCATGTCAGAACAAGTCTCCATTCAGGGAGTTTGGAAGAATACAAAGTTTATGAATGCTCATGTTATTTTATATCGTGATTGTTATTTTTCTGTGGTAAAAATCTCTCTGGACTTTTGGCACCGAAATGAGCCAATTTTTTGTAGATCAGTGGCAGTACTGCAATCCTTATGTGAACATGTCGTACACGCCCCTTTTCAAGGCCAACTGTAACTAAATGAACAAGTTATGTGTCCGTCCAATTTCCAAAATTTAAATTTCTTGCTTATACTTCCTGTAAAATGTGCAATGCATATTCTGTTCAAGATCGTTAAAAATTGTTTCATTCAAGACACCCAACACTGGCCCAAGGGCAGGGAAGGACAATTTTTTTGTTTCAGTGTTTTCAACCAATAAAACAGCTTTTTCAATCGAGAGCTAACCTTGTTCCTTTGTTTCTTCTTGTCGCGCCATCAATGTCTCCAGTTTGTCACCAATGTCTTCCCCTTTACTTTTCATCTGATCTACATTGTCTGTGGGTCAAAATTGACATTTTGTTTCAGATATTTCTGTATCTTTAGTAGAGTTCAAAGCTACTGAAACATTTGCATTTATACTTAAGGGTTGAATAACACCATACATGGAAAGTCTAGCTCTTATTTCGTAGCTTCTATACCTTATTTCAGATTCTGCTGCAGTAAGTGACTAGCTATAGGAATATTACTCTTATCCCTGGAAAGAGAGCCATTCCATTGCAAGGTACCCTCGCTGCATTTCCTGACAGTTTCCATCTTCAGTTGAGTGTTCCCACCTCTAGCGCATCTAGATTAAAGTGTCTTAAAGGCATACATGTATAGTCTCCTTCGCAATCATTTCTTGGGAATTCATACAACTCATCACATGACTGTGAGCCAAAGCAATGTTTTGTGCCTAAGGTCCACGCAGCTTGATTAAATGTCATGCTTCCACTTTAATTTTTTTTTACCTGAGTCATTGATGGGCACAACATATACCTTCAATCTCTCTGATCGTTTCTTTGATATTGTCCTCATCTTGCTTCCACTGCTTTAGCAGCTGCCTGTCGTGTTCTTCTGAATCAGGGTCTATGGACTCATTCTTAAGTTCAATGATAGCAGCTCCATAACCCACTCCTACCAGTCCTAATATGGCTTTGCTGATATCCTGCCAGTAGCTGTTGAGTGTTGCATCATCTACAGAGGCTTCGCTGGCATGGGCGTACACAGTATTACGGTAGTATTTCAGCCTGGCTATGTTGGCCGCCTTACTCATATCTGTTGGCGGAGGAAGTCTGTCCCATCCAGTGCTGGGAGGAACCAATCCACAGATATTCCTCAGAAGCACCATCAATAGCGTTATATCAACGTTTTTTGATGAAACAGATGATGTTATAGTTGGATACAGCTTCCCCCATTGTGTAGGATTCAGGATTCTCTTCTTCCTCAGAGACTGTAGTGTTACATCCTCTGGGTGACGCCCCAAAACTGTATGAAGTCCTATTGGAGGGTGTATGGCATCAAAAGTGTCTCTCAAGGCCTGGGATCCAACATCCACCAGAAGGCGACACAGACGAGCATAGTTGGTTGTTTCCTTCGTAGAAGGAAAAGCTGTTGTATAGGCTGATGCCATGTGCTGTAGTAGTAAAAAAAAAATTTTTTTCAGACAACCAGGGTAGAGAACTCAAGGTGATGAGGTTTTGACTCTTTGACATAATACTTCCTTACCCAACATAAAATTTCCCCTCACCCTAAACTGAATGGTTCAATATTGTGAGAATGAAGTTCATTAAAAAGAGAATTAAGTAATGCGTGACCTAGGCTGACTCGGCAGTTTCGTGATAAAAGCTGTGTGATATGGCCGAAACGTCAATCGTTCATCTATAGTTTTCCAGTATTTGAATTATTTTCTTTTTGAAATGTAATACATAGACAGGTAAAAACGAACGATATAATATCCCGACGTTTCGGCGACTTCATGACGCCATTATCAAGGGTACGAATGAAAATAAAATTAACAAATGCGAGTTCAAGAGTTACAACTAATTTAATACCATTTATTACATCCATTTTGAAATCACTTGTGATCCTTGCCATCTGATTGGCTCTCATGGGTGGAATTAATTCACAAATCGTGCAATTTTATTCTCTAAATCGCATCTTTTTCCCACCCAATAAAATTTCACTGCTTGTTTGAAGAAATGATCAAATCAAATTGCAGTAAAATAAGGGAAAACTTTTTTAACTTTTTACAAACAAGCTCTGAATATACTGGATCAATAAAATACTTGTACAGACTAAGAAAAAACTTGTACTGAGTGACTGAATTTTGCCTTTTCAAAAAAGATGTAATAAAGTGGTAATTGAACTTCGTGTCATGCAATTTTGTTCCTTTGATTTTGAAATCACGCATGATTTCAGACCAAATTGCACTCCACTCATTTCACTTACCATTATAGATAAGAAAT